AGGTTTCTTCCTGTTAAAAGGGAGTTTTTCCTTCCCACTGTCGCCAAAGTGCTGCTCATAGGGGGTCATATGATTGTCGGGTTTTTCTCTGTATCTATTATTGTAGGGTCGACCTTACAATTTGTTGTGATTTGGCGCTGTGTAAATAAAATTGAAACTGAATCTGATTGAGATGCAGTGACATTTAAAAGGCAGTTTATGCTTGAAAAGCCTCCAGTAAAAGACTCATTGCCAGTTATCGCCAACACTTGAGAGCAGTTGTTGCTGCTGAGGGTGGCCCAACCAGTTTTTAGATTTATGGGTACTTATGAGCCTTGGAGATTTGGATCTGTTTTCCCTTCAATAATAAACACCTTCATTTAGAAACTGCATTTTGTGTTTTAAGCCTGGTCTAATATTTAAAATAGTTTGATCATCTAAAACATTTAAGTGTGACAAACATACAAAAAATAGGAAATCAGGAAGGGGGCTGTATGCTCCAGGCCACTATTATTTTAAGCTGCCTGCATGCAAGTGACTTCTCATCTATATATTATAGTGAGGATGACGTCACTTAATGCTGCAAATGACATTTTCTGTTGAAAGTAGAAAACTTAGAGAACAGACAGAGCCGGAGCTAAAAATTGTCTGTTGCCTGTTTTATTTTCTCGCTGAAAGCAGACGCGATTTATTGGGATATTTTAATGACTTTACAGCTCAGTGTGCCACTCTGCAGCAGGTACACCACCTGTTAAAACTGGGGCACCAAAGCCTCATTTAGTCGTGGTCACGTGATCTGGGTGTTTTTAACCACATTTCAGAGCAGTGTTTTGAAACATCTGCACTCGCGAAGCTTGACACAGTGTTGAAATCTGTCTTTTATTTATGAAAAACAGGATAACAAGTGAACAAGACATCTCCACAATAAGAGCAAAACAGCACAGACAGCAGGACAATCATTGGACCAGGGGGAAATAGGAAAGGTGAAAAATGTGTAAGGAATTTTAATCTTAAGTGTCAAAATAAAGGAAAGAACAATATAAATGCTAATAGTTACAGTAATTGAACACACATGTGTTGGTGCCCAGTTTGTGTGTCACTGTGCTCCGATTGCCACAACGAAC